CGACTTCATCCACATTGGTGGAATGTCACTAGTAATCTCTTTTTTGGCGAGTAGAAAATATATAAAATGACTTTGAAACCATTATCATCTTTATCACATATATAAGTGAGAAGCCACCAATGACTTCATTTTGATAATCAAAAATTAAATAAAAATGGTTTTTGGGTCATTGTCGACTTCATCCATATAGTTGGAAAGTCACTTATAACCCCTTTTTCGTCGAGCGAGAAAACATATAAAATGGTTTTGAAACCACCGATAGATTCATCGTACAAGTGGAAAGCCACTAATAACTTTATTTCAATAATCAAAAATCAAATAAAAATGGTTTGAGGCCACCGATAGCTTCATCCACATATATGAAAAGTTATTAGTGGTCTCTTTTTCAACGAGTCGAAAATAGGTAAAATGATTTAATATAACAATAAACATGTCAATTATTTCATTCATAATCAAGTAAAGTATTTGATAGCTCAATCATTTACAATATGAAATTTTTATCACTTTTATTTATTATTTAAAACTAATCTTTATAGTTTTGAAAATTACTCAAATTTTTTAATGGTGTTAACGATTCTATTTACATTAGTTTCACTTCCTTCAATCTCGAAGAAGATTGATTATCTCATTCAGTCGAGAAAAAAAAGCAATTATTCTTAAGCCTCTTTTCAAGCTCTATTTTGTCCGACTTAAAATTACATTACAGAAATTAATCATGTTTTATCTGGTCGAAGGTTTCTGTTCCAATTAACAAACAATAACAACATAAAAATTATAGTTTACAATATTATATTGTTTCTATTAAATACAACAATCAACCAAACATATATATATATATATATATATTTTTGTGTTTTCTTCTATCCACGATTAATAAGTTTCTGCTATTACCAACACGACAACAAATCATAAGTTTTGTATTTTTTTTTTAGCTTGATTCTGTTCAAGATATGAAGCTATAATAAAAAGTGTTTTTAGATCAAAATCATGAAGGAGGGATGCTGTTCGTGTGTGTTAGTATGGTTCGATCAAGGAGAAGAGAGGCTGTGGTGTTCGGCTAGTGTTTTAGGTAATGGTGGTATATGGTGTTTCTGCTAGGCTAGAGGGCTGATATTGTTCAATCAAAAAGGAGAGGGATGAAACTGGTTCAGTCAAGGAGGAGAAAAGGGGATAGTTCGGTCAGATATGAAGAGGGATGAGATGGGTTGGCTAGATGAGAGAGGGAGGTTCGGCTGGAGGAGGGAAGACTAGTTTAGTCACGGATGAGGAGGGATGAGATGGGTTTGGCTAAAGGAGAGAGAGAGAGGTTCGGCTGGTTGGTCACGGCTGGAGGAGAGAAGGTTGGTTCGGTCGCAAATAAGGAGGATAGAGGGTGGAATGGCTGGTCACGGTTGGACAAGGGAGAGTTGGCTTGGTCACAAGTGAGGAGAAGAGAGGTGAAATGGTCAGATGATAAGGAGGTGGGGTGGTGCTGGTGTGGCAGGATGAGGAGGAGGAAATGGGGTGAGATGGGTTCGACTGAGGGAGAGAGAGATGTTTGAGCGCAAGTTTTTTTAAGGGAGATGATGAATAGTGAATGGTATATAAAAAATGAGAGAGGGGGTAATTTATAAGTGGAATTTAGGGTTTACGGGCTAAGATTGATTTTGGTCTTAATTTTTCATAATTCGTTAATTTTAAGTATAATTTTGATTGTTTGGACTTTAATGGTACTCATAAATTATAATTAATTAGGATTTTTTTTTAAATTTCTTCCAACCGTTTTTTTTTTTATTTTAATTAATGTCATGGGGTTTTGGATCTTTTAATTATACCTTCAATTGTATTTTTCTCTTAATCAAACTTCTTATTTGTTTTAATTGGAACCCTAAAATTAATTCGAGCCGCTTGTTTTGATTGATTGATTTATTTATTTATTTATTTATTATAATTATTGGTCAAAAAGAAAAAGAAAAAGAAAAAGAAAAATAGTAGGGGTGAAAATTTAATTGGGTACTAACAATTTTAATCTAAATTTAGATTGGTATACTAAAATTATATATATATTAGACTCTCGAAGACAATATGAAAAACAGCCTCGCATACTAATAATAATTATAAGCCTCAAAAAGTTTATGGCTTTCCTTGCTAAGGTTGGTTGAACCTTTGCTTTCCATTTATTTGACATCAAACTATTTGTTGTATCTACCGGTGAAAATATAATTTGCGGCATTTGCCTAACTAAATACGTCCATTTTTCACCAATTTCATTCGACCTTACTTCATTAGTCTTCCGAACAATAAAATAGTGTCGAGCATCAACAACATTAAGATATTGGTAATGATTAAAGCCCACTATATATTATACTCATATTTATGCATAACCCACTTTTGCACACATGTAGCAGTCAACTTCTAATATTAATAATTAAATAAACAGAAGGTGTCAAGCAGACAAATTAGAAGCATTGCCCCACCCACACTGCCACACAGACAAAAGCATATTAAAAAATTAATCAGTTGTATCAACAAGGTAATTCAAAACCAACCATTGTACTAAAAGAAGCAATTTAACTCCTATGGTTAACCAAACGAAGGCCTCCCATTCTCAGGAGTCAGGAGTCCTCAATTCTCTGGCAGTTGCCAACTTTTAACATGCCAAGGGATTAAATGACAATTCAGGAATCCTAAGTATTTATATTTTATCAAAGTCAAAAGGGTAACAAGATCATGGAGAAAGTTACGTCTAGGTGCTACTAATGCGTAAACGGGTTGTAAAGGTCGCACCCAGAAACCAAATTAAAAATCCATAAAGAAAAAAAGTTGTGGGGTTAGCCAGACTACGTATCTTTGGTATGTCAAGATCACGACAAAATGTGTCTAAGAAGAATAAATAGATGGTTAATTTTTCCTTCCTTTCCTTCATAAATCTACAAGCAGTTGAAAGGTATATATATCCGTAAATCTTGTGCTATATATACTACGAGAATTATCTCGTTACATAATAATCAATAAATTGAATTCATTAAAACTTGAACATATTTCATTTTAAAAAAATTACCAAATATACAATCTGTAGATTATAATTATTTATGTCCTAACAAAATATTAAACATTAAGGGAAAAAAATTTTCAAAAATATACTTAGATTATTGGATCGTAATTCTTGAAATTCTTTTCTTAATGTTTGGCATTAATAAACGAGGAGAGAAATCCTTTTCTTTTGATATCTAAGTCTTTTCCATAATTCAAAAACAAAAAGGTCAAATATTAAAACAAAACTTCAATAATTAATAAACACAAGCCATTAGATTAATGGGATCGACCACCATTAATTTATATATTAAGATTACGGTCCAATAACTCAAGATCATCTAATTTTTTTCCCTCCTTTTCTATTATTTTTCAGTTCTCGGCGAAGGCACAAGCCAATCAATAAAAGCATACTTAAGTAATTTAAAAAACACATGCACTATAACGTCATCTATGATATAATAAACAAGCACGCCAATAGGCATGCTTGAGCTTGACCACACGCACATGCATGCATTTGCATCCAATAAGATAAGAGTGCCCAAAACTTTTATATATATATATATTTGTGTTCTTCCATTATTAAAGCCTATCAATGTGAAATTTTAAGGGTTAAAGATCAACAAGTTTTTTTTATTATTTTATTTATCTTAATCGTGTTCATCTATTAATTTTTTTAATGATCATATTTTTTTATTTTTTATTTTCATCTTAATTTCATCCTTTCGATTAAATTTTTTAATAATTATATCAATTTTCGACAATAGTCTCACAAAATACTGACTTCAAAAAAACAAAATTCTACCAACTTGATTTCTTTTTCAACTTTGTTACTAATTGGTAAGGAGTTGCTATCATGTGGACGCATTTTTTGAATTTGGGTTGGTGAGTGAAGGCAGCATTTGAGCTATAATCCAAAATTTCTTTTGTAGTACCCCCTATTCAAAATTTGATATAATATATTTATAAAATATAATTATTTATATAGAAGAGTAAAATTATTTATAAATTGATATAACTGCATACTTCAGTTTGCCTTGAAAATTCAATAAGAATAAGTTATGTTTGGATTAGATTTGTAAAAAGTATAAATGAAATAATATAAGCCTAATAATTAAACCCCAAATGACATGAACTATATCTTTTTATTCATACAAGTTCGTGCGTAAACTCAAATTATTTAAGAAATTGATGGAAGTGATAATGCTATGGACCGCTAATGATCAAGTTCATTGTCTCTAAAACTCGCCCACCATGTCACCAATAAATTATTCTTTTGTTTTAGTTTTCGAGAATACCATAGGCAGAGAATATGAAATTCCAAGACTTCCTCGAAGAAGCTCACTTTTGTCTTTGTGAGATATGATGGCTCAATAAAGCATTAAATAAACAAAATAACGCTTGTGATAAATGCGATTTCTGTTTGGTTTTGTTTAATTAAATGGCAATACTATAAGTTTTTATCTTATCTTGTTGCCAACTAGGGATGGAGAAGGAATTGACTAATCACATAGAGGAATTGGCCCCTTTTTTTTTTTTTTTTTTTTTTTTTTCATTTTTGTGATGATGTGGTTTCTTTAGATCATGTTCAAAATCTAAATGCTCTAAGTGGCGTTGACAAATGTTATTTTTCACGGGGGAGTAAGTACATGGTGATGGGGGTATGCTATACGTTGTCTAGGCTGGATTGTATATAACAGTAGTCGCCTCTCCTTTGCAGAGCTTACCCAAGTTAGTACAAACCCAACTTCCTCAACTCTCAAAGCAGATCCGGTGGGGGTTTTCTTCTTGATCTTTATCATCTTTATCTTCTTTGGGTTTTGGATTCTTTGACATCAGTTGAAGTTTTTAACTAGAGACAAAAACCCTTCTCTTTCACCTTTATTAATTAGCTCCATCTTCTAGGTTCTTTGGCCAGAGCATCCTCAAGTCAATATTTGCTTGGGCTATATATATAAAGGGCTTTATTGGCTATTTCTGGAGCAAGAATGGAAGCTGTAAAGGACACTAAGTGGAAGAAAAACATGTTTTTGAAGGCGTGGTATCGATCACTCACTGTTGGCAGCAAGAAACCTTCAAAGAATTCTATCAGCTTATTCACAAAGAGCAGGTCATGGCACAGCACGACAAAACCAGGTGATCAAGAAGATGGTAGTAGTAATAATAGGAAAAAGAAGAAGAATCAAGTGGCTCCAGATGGTTGCTTCTCGGTCTATGTAGGGGCTGAAAAACAAAGGTTTGCTGTCAAGGCAGAGTTTGCTAATCATCAATTGTTCAAGATGTTGCTAGAAGATGCTGAATTGGAATATGGACACAATAGTGAAGGTCCAATATTGCTTCCTTGTGATGTTGATATGTTCTACAAAGTTCTGGCAGAGATGGAAAGCGAGGATGATGATGATGAGATGATGATTAGTACTCCAAGGTGCACCTCATTACCTCTTTGCAGTCCTGCTCGTCGATTCAATACTAAAAAGGGTGGTTTTGCAGGTGCATATAGAATTCTCGGTCCATCAAGAATACTGAAGTTGAATAAGTTATAGCTGTGTAAATCATCATCAAATAGTCCGTCCTTAATTTCTTGTTTTAAGCACATATAGCTAGTTCGATTGACCTCACAAGTTCTATATATATATATATAACTCACAAGTTCTTTAGCGTAATCTGTACTTTTGTTTATGATCAATATAAACTATTGGAAAACTAAAACCACAAAGTCTCATAATTCTGTCACGAGTCCTACCATTTACCGTAATCAATAATAACTCTTATGTTTCTCAAATTACTAGCCATGACTTGATCCAAACCTGTAATCTATTCAAGGTAATGGAAACTTATCGTAGCCATTTTGCTGGTGCCTAATTGGCTAAGGCTAATTACCCCTATCCTGCGGTAATTCTTACGAGACAATGCAGTGACTTTCGGTCATTCTGCAAAAAGTGATCAGTGCTTGTTATTCCCTACTCTATTCACATCAATATATATCGTAGAATGACCAAAAGTTAGCCAATGAGTAGTATCACAACTACCCCTAGTCTCTCTCTCTCTCTCTCTCTCTCTCTAGGAGGTCTCGTGTTCAAATCTAGTGTGTGAATGCGAAATTAGGGGTGGTAGATACCCTGCTGCCACCCTCTATTCGAATCAATATTATCCTCAAGGTATGGGATGTACATCCACCAAGTTCTGGACTTTGGATGTTAGGAAAACTACTACTCTCTATTATCCTGGTATATTGTCATGCCAGTGGACTACGTGAGAGTAGAAGCTGCGTTTTTTATTTTTACATTTGCCACTTGAATATAACATAAATCAACTTGTAAACAAAAGCCAAATCATGTCATATACTTTGCTGCCGAACGGTGAGAGACCGATGTGTATCATCATATCCTTCCTGATACTTTTCCCTCTCAAGGAATACAAACTAAAACGGGGTGGGCATTCATCTTTGAAAAAACCATATCAACCCATAAAGTTAAGCTATTATAAGAGAACTAAGAATGATTTTATATTAATTCACTGACATTCATATTAAAGCTATTCTACGTAGAGCAACGAGCATCCCAAAGTTTGCTACGTTGTAGTCAATAGGCAGCATACCAAAAGAAAGGTAAGACTACAAGTCTTTCAAGGATCCATCGCATAATAAAGGTTACATTGATATGCAAGCTATATAGTACAAACCAGAATGTTCCAACTGGGGTATGTCGAAGGTTACATTGCGAGGATCTGTGTCCTAGATGTTTTGCTGGGACCATTTGATTTAAAGGAGTGGAAGTGGAAGTTGTATATGAATCCCTAGCTACTAGCTAGCTTTGGCTAGCCAGTGAACATTGAAATGGGTGATCATGACAGAGTAATGAAAATAATTGTAACTTTTTGTCTTTTTTGGTTTGATCTCTATGTGCTTGGATGAATAACCTTACCTTTATCTACTCGGTAGTACTTCTGCTTAGGCTGTTCTTTGTATTTAGACATCTGTATTTATTGGGCCAAATTTTGAACAGTTAATGTCATCAATGGCATGACCATAATTTGGGGCAGATGCTAGATGGTTTACTTCTGCCCTCTGTGTTTCGTTCTACGAGGCTAACTAGACATGTATGCTATAGTTTGTCTGCTCTCTACAATACCTTCTGGACGGCACCTCCACGGCTCCACCTCTTAGTTAATGGGTCTTTTCCTTTTCTTTTTTTTTTTTTTTATGGTAAAATAAATAGATTGTCTATGATCTATTCTGCTCGTTTTCTATGAATTTTGTTTGTTACGTGGGTTTGGTTGATGTTATGAACAACGAAGTTACCATAGGATTGGCAATGTCACTCGCAGTAATCCATTACAAGAAAAATGAAAAATAACCACGGTTTTCTATCACTATATCATCAATATATATATATATATATATATCGCTATTTAGGTTTTGTGGTACTATTTTCTTAACGAAGAATTTTTTTTTTCCCATTGCTAATGCATAGAATTTCTATCACTAAAGTGAAGTAAACGATCATCTATCCGGTCTATTATCTCGTCATAAAATCATCGCTAATTGGTTATTTTTATCGCTAACTATTCCGTCTCTAAATCGTACTCGTTAAAATATCTTGCAAATCTATGGTTAAATCCATCAATATTTAGCGACCATATATGTGTTTGTTGTAAAGAAGTTTAATTTTTGTTGCTAATTCGATCATTAATCCATCACTAAATGAAGATTTATATATATATATATATATATATATATATAAATTAATAATCATTTAATGCTAATGGTAGTAACAAACAACTAAAAATAACACCTTATTAAAACATAATATATTATTTAATAAAATTAAAATAATATAAATTGAAAAAGTCAAACTTTTTTATGAAAGATTGAAGAACCTTATAGTCAATGCTACCTCATACGAAGGTCTAAGGTTATGGTGAGAGTTAGAATAAAGATATGTCATGTAATCAAATATTATGAGCTTTATAATAAGATTTGAATGGTTGTGGTTTTTTTTTCTGTTTTCCAGCAATCATTGTAATATAAATCAAATAGTTGTACTATTTTTATCTTTCAATAAAAAATAGCTCTAAATTATATTTAGAATGTGCTAAAAGTACAAATTTTGACTTCTCCTTCATGGTTATAAAATTTGTAACCACTCAAGATCCTAGCAAAAAAGATATAAAAAAAGGGGTTAGATATATTTTCCAAATCACCTAAAGTATATATGGGATTGTACCCTCAACAAATACTAAAAATCATATTTGACTTATCTTCAATGTAAATTCTATCATAATTTGAAGCCTATAATAAATAATAATAATAATATATTTAACTCGATTCACATTTTTACATGCATGTATTTTTTGTTTTATGTATATTCATTATATATATCACTTTGCGAGAATAAACAAGGACTTAATGAAAGCGTAACTTGCCCCAATACCAACAACTCGGACAAGATAGAAAACTAAAATGAAATCCAAGAGCAAAGCATCTAACAAGAAGTGGTCACTTTAAGAAATGAAGTGTCGTGCTTAATTGATTTGCTAAAGAAGGCTCTCGAGTCCAAAGCTGCTGAAAGGTGAAGTTTCAATGATGTAGGATTCCTGTTTTCCTACCATAACATCGGTCCCTCTACCGGGTTCTCTCGTATCTATATACTCTATTTATAATGGTGACTCATCCCAAACAACCTCTTCTAGTTGCTCCATCAAGCCATGTGGTAACATCCATTGTCAAGAATACTTCACACTTACATGTTTCACCTTTGCATATTGCCTTTTTCTTCATAACTAATGTAGTGGAAGCTCACAAGAAAGAATGATAAATAACGTTGATATGATATTCGGATGCTTGATCTATTATAACATGTTGATTTGTAGACACATACCGGGGAATAGGCTTTAATTCCATTGATTCAAAGTACACCGACAATTGAAAAAATTGAGATACTCTTTCACAAAAATTTATTAATCAAGCAAAAGTGAGGTTTTTCAGCCTAAACATCTTACATAAATAGTAAATTTTAGGTCAAAATCCTAAAACAATTTGAAAAGAAAACAAACATTAAAAATCCAAAATTAAGTAGGAAAAATCCTAAAAATTCGCTATTGTACGGACGGAATAATAAATTGGTGATTTGAGGGCTTAAATGACTTTTTTTGTGAAAATAACACGTACTTCATGCGCAAAGCCTATGTGTTTTGATCCTTGGCTCGTTTCGCATGAAACTAAATCCAAAAACCCTAAAAATCAGCCCAAAAATCCTAACTCCCGTCACCATACCCTATCGTGCCGCTCCATGAATTCCAAGGCCTTTTGATCCACATCCCCCGGGAAAGAGAGAATTTAACCTCGAATTAACTGCATCATCATCATTTGAAGAGTCACCATGGAAGGAAATTAAATGTTTGACATTGAATACATCAACGGTATGAATATGACTAGGCGAACTTGAGACAATAGGCATTGAGATTGCTCTTCTTAAGTCTTTCCATAGGACCAATCTTCTTTGTCTGTCAATTTGTTATAGTCTCCCACGGAAAAATGATTATTGGTTAAGACGACCCACACAAAGTCACCTACTTCGAACTCAACATGGCGGCGCTGTTTATCGATGAATGCTTTGTATTTCGCATAAGACCGAGCTAAGTTGTCATGCACGGTCTTTTGAATCTTCCGCAACCTTGTCACAAAGTCTGCTCGCCTTACCATCGATCTTTGTCTTACTCGATAGTGGCATCAAAACCAAAAGCCCACGTGAAATCACATAATACATCACACGAAAGGATTGAATCTCGTACTCATGTTAATGACATGGTTATGAGCAAACTCGACTTGGCATAATTTCGATCCCAACTCTTGACATGATCACCAACCGGACATCGAAGCAAGTTTTCTAGAGATCGATTGACAACTTCGGTTACCCATCTCGTATGTGGATGATAGGCACTCGCTGAAGTTGAAATGTGTATTCACCATCTTTCACAAGCTGCGCCAAAAATGACCGAGGAACCTTGTGTCTCTATCGGACACAATAGATGCGGAAAGATCATGCAAGCGATACACCTCTCGAAAATAAAGAATAGCAACATTAACGAGCATCTATCGTCTTCTTACAAGGAATAAATGAACCATCTTAGAAAAATGATCGGCAACCACATAGATGGAATCCTTATCTCATTGTGTTCGGGGTAGCCCCAAAACAAAATCCATACCGACATCCACCCAAGGTCGAGAAGGCACGAGCGGCGACATGTAAAGTCTAGCATTAGTAGTAGCACCCTTAGACACTTGGTCGATTTGACATCGCTGTACAAACTTATCCATCTCTTTTCAAATGGTAGGCCAAAAGTACGAAGCCTAAACTAGCCGCAATGTTCTGCTTCTCCTTACATGACCCTCCTCATGTAGTTCCTTAATAATCCGCACACGCAAGCTGCAATCATGAACACAAAGTCGGTTTCCCTCGAACAAAAATCCATCATGCAATAGAAATTCTATCTTCTCTCCTGCGCGGACCCCTCTCCATAACAACGAGAGAAGTATGGATCG